CAACATACATAGCTACACAGAACCAGGAATTGCCCTAAACACACCAAGAAAGCTGTAATCTACAGCCAAGCTCTCTGGTACCACCAAATTTGCAGTGAGGAGAATACCCATAGTCGCCAACTCACAAATCTCAAAAGGGCCTTCAGCTAAGAAGGACACTCCTCCAGAGAGAGAGACCACACTTTCAAAGAGCCACCCAGATACCATGTGAAGATTTGCTGCAGTACAAAACAAAAATCCCCACAAATCGCACATCATTAGTTATAACATATTGCCCTCCCTGGAACCTACACGGAAAATTCTTAAACAATTGCAACCCATACTAGCAGAAGACCCCATTCTTAAAGAGTTCTTTCCAGAACCACCCATCCTAGCCTTTAAACAAGCACTGAACCTTGCTAACCTCATCACCAGAAGCAAACTCCCTATGACCTGAACCACTCCCAATGAATCCAGACTATGCCAGGACAAGAAATGGAAAACCTGCCAACATATCTCCACTACCCCACATTAACTACATCCCACAACAGAACCATCACCATTCCTGTATCCTACACATGAATCTCCAAAAATGTAATGTATTTCATCAAGTGCACCAAATGCCCTAATGGAAAACATGTAGGAAAAACCAAACAACTGCGCACCAAAATGAACGTACACTGGAAATCTATCAAAGACGAGAATACCCAACTACATGTGGGAGCACACTTCTTACAGGACAGTCACTGCCTCTCTGATCTCTCAGTTCTAATCCTCATAGAGAACTTACAACACACCTTCTGTAGACGAGCCTACAAACTTCACTTGATCAACCTGCTGGATACTAAAAATCATGGACTCAATATAGACATTGGATTTATAACACATTACAACCTACCTGACCTATTACATTCCTTTTTTTCCCTCCACCTTTTCTTTCCTCCCCTCCCCCTCTTCTCTGCCCTTTTTCTTTCTGGTTCCCTACCATTGCCTTTTTATTGCTAGCCTCTTTTTTACCTTTTATTATTACCTCTGTAGTGTTTTCCCTTTTGACCCTCTTCTTTCCCCTGTTTCTTCCCCCTCCTTTACTTTTTGTTTTCCTACTTCTACCCTCTAATATTTTCAATAACATCCTGTCACACTTCTAGCTTCTCCAATTCCTGCTTTCCTGATCTCCAGCTATTTCCTTTTTTTACAGACTGCCTCTAGTTCGCCTTATTTTATCTCTGTTACTCTCTCCTACTTTTTCTTCCCCCTGCTCTCTTCCCTCCCTGCTTTTCCTTTTGCCTTGCTGATCTCTACCTATTTACATTTTCACTGACATCTCTCCATACTCTTAGCTTCTCTCATGGAGTCTCAGAGCAGCAGAGACTCCCTATGCCTGATTAAAGGCGACTGTGCCTGAAAGCTTGCTAAGAACTTTTTTCCAACTATTCAGTTGGCCTAATAAAATATATCTACTCAAAGAACCTTGCCTGCCTATGTCCTTAGACCAACACGGCTATAACCAAAAACCCAGCTCTTAGCTTTCACTTTTTTGAATACAGAAATTTAATAGACCAATTCTTCTGTTGCAAAGAACTTAGACCACAACAGTTTGGAATGTTAATGACATTCCGTAGGTTTACCTTGGCTGGGGACAGACCTTACACACAAACTGGTATAAGTGAATTGAAACTGGTTCAAATCTGTAATGCAACAGGAGGTCAGTGCATGTAAACTGCTTTCAAAATGTCTGAAACCAGTTTAAGATAAACCTGGATGGATGTAATATCAGACTTAACTGACTTAGGTTAAATCGGTTTATTGAACTGTCCCAGATCCCTTCTGGCTTCAAGTTAACTTAAAGTCCCCCAGCATCCCAGGATGCTTTGCACCTCCACCCTCGCAGGATGGATGGGCTAGCCTTGGTCCAAGCTGCCTGCTTCAGCCCAGCAGGGAGTCATGCTTTTGCACCCCCCTGCCTTCCACCTTCTGGCATGGGCCACTGCAGGCATGTGGTTTAATTTCCAGAATCAGAAGTGAATGTCTGTTCACTTACTTATTGATTCAATCTACATAATTTAGCCTAACCTGCAAAGATTTAATTGATTCAGCCTTTGGCTTTTGCACTGTCTGTACTTAGCCCTTGTGAATCGTGAAGGTGTTAGCACACCTAACAATGCTAATCTTGTTCAGCACCCTGCAGCACACTTAAAAGGATAGTACAAACTGGTTGAGAACCATTGCTTTACACCTGTTTTAAATGAGACCTATTTTTTGTTTGAGCCAATTCTGGACTTTTCCCCCCCAAAATTATGTTGTTAAGTGATCTGAATGGGCAAAAGCTCTTTCTGCATTGTCTTAAAACTTGCCATAAAGCAACACTTTTGTGTATAATAGTCCTTGCTTTACATGGCCTTCTCTAGCCTTTTTTGTCTTTAATTGAAAAAGAAGGTATTGAATTCATCAGTCCTTTTTTTAAATCTTTTTTTAAAGCTTCAAAAACTAAACTTTGGTTAAAGTCTAAACTACAGTTTTTTCCAAGTGCATGTTTAGAACACCTTTGCCAAACAGATGTCTTTGCAACATACTCTCATTTCACTTTGGGCAGCAGGTAATTTTTCCTGCTTAGTCTCATTGTTGGCTATGTTTTGTTTCTGCTCCTGGTTTGATACCACTTTAGATTTGAACAGGCATCTAAAAACCAAATGTTCTTGCTACAAGCATTTAAAACTTAAAGCAGGAGTTTGAAATAAATTCTTCCATACCAGTTGGATCTTCATGTGACTGCAGTTTTCAAATAAGACAAATATAGTAATGGGAGTTCCAGATTTAAACCAATAGAAATGAGGGACTTGAGAATTACAGTACAACTGAAAGAATTATTGACCCAAATAGTGATGGTGTTATTACTGCTGTTTGCTGCAGCAATTTTTAATGGACTGATGTTGGTTCTCCAAGTTTTTGGCAAATCAAATAGTTTAGGAAACAGTACTTCAGAAAATGTTAATCTGTGTTCTCTTGAAAATAGCTTCCCAGCAAGTGTCTACTAACTATTATATGTTGTAATAGATTTTGTACAGAAGCCTGACTACTAAAATGTGCTATACAAGAGACAGTCTTCTGAAGACATTATGATATATTCTAGGTGCTGTTTAGAGCAATAAAATAAGTACCCAAGGGTCTGATCACAAGCCCACTGAAGTCAATCGGAGTCTTTTTGGCTGATTTCCATGGGCTTTTAGCTTCAGCCCTAAGTATGCTGTGTTGTATTTAGAAAGAATCTCTAAACAGGAATATGTGGTCTAAGTCATAAGTTTTCCAAACTGGAGTTCTATTTCTACATGCCTTTGATATTTTTGCTTATGATTTCATAATTTCCTACTGCTAAAAATATATTAGGTAAGAAATGTGTTGTTGCTAGGCATTTAATGGATCTTAAATTATTGGTATTAATCATTATTCCTTATTCATTCATCTGATAGTTACATTAGTAACTCCCATTAATAGAATTAGGAAGCTTTTCCTTTTTCATACCCTTTAGTAGTTGTGTTGAGAACTAGTTGTGTAAACTTCTGTTTTTCTTTTCTTTTTTTTTCTGTCAAGCATATTGCTTTTAAGTCCTGGGTTCCCAAATTACAGATTGTAATCATGAGTTAAGGATGTCATGAACATATTTGTAGCCAATTTAACCCTTTTGTAGAGAGAGATTGAGTCTAATATCAGGGCAAGAGAAGGAGCTTATGTTTCATGGTGACTGACTATACTTTGGAAGCAGTTACAGTGCTGGCATTATTTAGTGTTGTTGTAGTTGAGCACAGGTGAAACATGCTTATTGAAAAGAACTTTTATTAAACAGATGCTTGCTGCATGAGTAGAAGGACCTTGACTTTCTGTTTAAAGATGAAGTAGACCACCAGAAAAGTAAAGTATGAGCCAGAAAAGTGTTGCAAATTTAAGACAGCAGCTATAATTAGTCTATGACTGCTACTTTTTGAACATCATGGTGATATCTAGTTGAACTATATTTATTTTCACCTGGTTCGTTCATATACCTACACATTTTAGAGTATTACACACATGTTTACATGCACATGCCGAGTTTTAAGGTTGAAAAATTGACTAGTCAGAAGCTAGGAAATACAGAATGAAAGTTGTACAGTACCTTGTATATATATGAATGCAATCTTCCGTTATGTGATCAAACATCCTTTCAACAGGGCTGACTAGTAATGAACAACCATTCAGTGAATTGTTTTCTTTATATGTGGCCCTGCATGATACCTTTAATTGTTAAAAAAGTAAGCAAAGTTTAATTTTGATAAGCCTAGCACCTGCTGTAGATGCTCATTTATTCCCAACTATGCATTCCATTTTAAAAGGTGGGAGTGGTAGGGACACTGATTTTTCCTGCCTTCAAAATTTCTGGATGTTTTACATCTCAAAGTACTAGAACTACATTAAAGGGAAAGGTCCCAGAGTTTAAACTGGGTAAAACTTATTTCATCGTAACCTGATTCTTGAGGCCATCCTATTTTAGATGAAATTTTGCAAGAAATACCTGCCTGAGACGCAGCTTGCATATAAAATTTCAACCTGTATGGTTACATTTTGGCAGGTATCGTGTTACAGGCAGTCTTAATAGTTGGTTTTATCAGCCTGTTTACAATTAATATTTAAGCATTGACATGTATTAAATGTATTAAATTAAAATTTGATTAAATAATCAAACTGCCATTAGTTCTTGTAACAAACTGTGCTTCAGGACCGCTGGAGTGCCTTGTAGTTTAAGGAAGATAAAATGTCCAGAACTCTGTCAGGTATTGGACTTGTAGAGGCTGTTGGAAGAGGACAGATATCCAATCTGGATGTGGAGTTGTATACAAACTACCATAAGAGTAATTTCAGATTTCTGGAATGCTATGCAATACAAGGGTTTTCCATGAGTCAGTCAAAGAAAATATCATAAGGGTTATCGCCTTTAAAGCATTTGTTAAGATTTAAAACCTTTTTTTTTTTCTTTTTTTTTTCTTTTCTAGACCAGAGATGACTTCCTAGGCCAAGTGGATGTTCCTCTTTATCAGTTACCGGTTGGTATTAATTTAATATTACCTAAAACAAAACTGTTAATGCATGTAACCGTTTTATTAATCTGAGTAAGTATATGGCTTATAAAATTTTGCCTCTTCTAATCTGACAGCTATTTCGCAAAACTAAGCTAATGCAACCTACATTGTTATGCTTAGGTATGCACTTCTACTTATGACTTCTTCTATAATAAAGTTTTCATATACAATCCCGAAAGATTGATTATGAGTTACTGTCCCATTTGTTATTCTAGCTCCTAATCTCATAGGGAAGAAATTTTTCTTTCTGGTTAATTTTAATTAAAAATAACTTTTAATTAAATACAGAAAATAGTTGTAATAGAAAATAGATTAGAATTAATCTGAGTTTACATCTTGGTTGTTTTTTGCTTTTGAATAATTTTACAAAACAGTTTCTTCATTTATAAAGGAAGTTATATAAAAGAATAAAGTGCAAAGTACTTTCTTGTAGTATCTTCATTTCATAGTTGGTAGGGTCGGAAGGGACCTGAGGAGATCATCTAGTCCAACCCCCTGCCGTGGCAGGAAAGAGTACTGGGGCCAAACGACCCCGGCCAGATGTTCGTCCAGCCTCCTTTTAAAGACCCCCAGGGTAGGAGCCAGCACCACTTCTTTTGGAATTTCGTTCCAGGTCCTAGCTGCCCTGACAGTGAAATAGCGCTTCCTGATGTCTAGCCTGAAACTACCCTCCGCTAGCTTGTGTCCATTGTTTCTTGTAACTCCCGGCAGTACTTGGGGGAACAGGGGCTCTCCCAATGCCTGCTGGTCCCCCTTGATTAGTTTGTAGACTGCCACTAGATCCCCTCTCAGCCTTCTCTTGTGGAGGCTGAACAGGTTCAGGTCCCTCAGCCTGTCCTTGTAGGGCCTGCCCTGCTGACCCCTGAGTGTCGCATAGACGGGGAGGATCACCTCCTTGGACCTGCTTGGGATGCATCTGTGGATGCATGACAAGGTATGGTTGGCCTTCTTGACCACGTCCCCACACTGTCGGCCCATGTTCATTGTGGCATCAGTGATGACTCCAAGATCCTTTTCTGTCTCGACACCGGCGAGAAGGGAGTTCCCCAGCCTGTAGGTGTGCTGCTGGTTCTTCCTCCCCAGGTGCATTACTCTGCACTTGTCAGTGTTGAACCCCATCCTGTTCTCATCGGCCCACCCCTGTAACCTGTCTAGATCCGCTTGCAGCCTGTTTCTTCCTACTAGCGTACCCACTTCACCCCACATCTTAGTGTCATCTGCAAATTTGAACAGGGTGCTTTCTACCCCCTCGCCTAAGTCACTGATGAAGATGTTGAATAGTGCGGGCCCAAGGACTGAGCCCCGGGGAACCCCACTGCCCACATCCCTCCAGGTCGAAAAAGACCCATCTACCACCACCCTCTGGGTGCAGCCCACCAGCCAATTAGCGACCCATCTGACTATGTAGGCATCAACACCACTGTCTCCTAGTTTCTTACTGAGAATGGGGTGAGAGACCATGTCAAAGGCCTTCCTGAAGTCCGGAAAGACTATATCCACTGTGATACCTGCATCCAAGAACTTGGTGATCTGGTCATAGAAGGCCACCAGGTTGGTTTGACAAGTCCTGCCCCTAATGAACCCATGCTGGTTGCCCCCGAGCATAACCTCCCCTGCTGGCCCTTCCTGGACATCTGCCAGGATAATTCTTTCGAAAAGCTTCCCCAGGACTGAGGGTAAGACTCACGGGCCTATAGTTTCCTGGGTCCTCCTTCCTCCCTTTTTTGAAGATGGGGACCACATTAAAGGATCTCTCTCAAGCGTTACAGAAATACTAATCAGATTGTGCATCAGCCATTTTGACAGTGATACACAAAGGTAATTACAGCTCTTTGCTGAATTTTGTTATTTTTCTAGTGAAGATTTTGCTGCTATAGGAAGTAACTAGAGTGAGAAGGCCTACCAGAGATGGACCATATTCGCATTACCTCATTCCCCTAGCCAAGAAGGCTGGGGGTAGGACTTTGGTATTTGTTATTTGTCACTGACTCTGGAAAAGAGTTCTGTTAGCCAGTAGCTGAGATGACAGAAGTCCCCACAGTCTCACAGCTGCAGCTCCTGTTGCCAAACTTTTCAATACTGTGCATGTTTATTGTGAGCTAAATTAGTGGTTCTCAACGTTTTTTGTACCAGAGCCCACTTTTAAACATCAATGACCAGTCCCAACTCAGTGCCCCTCGCTTCTGACCCACTGCCCCCCACCCCCAGGGCCCAATCTATTTTTAAAGTTCATTGATCCTTTTTTTTAATTTGTTTGCCGACTGAGAAATGCTGAGCTAAATGATTGTTTGGACTTCTAATTGCCTGTCTCCCACTATTGCTCTGTGTACCTTCCATGTTTTGTTTTGTTTTGTTTTTCTTCCCCCCGCCACCTTCACTGTTCTCTATCTCCTCTTCCTCTTCTCTTGATTATAGCTACTCACTTTGCCTACCTATATTTGCTACCCATCACACTGACCATGTAATTGACTTATCCCTTTTTACCATGCCTTTTGATAATAAGCTCCTGTGACTGATGGACTCTAATTAGTTTGTGTAACATCAAAGCATAATGAGACCTGAACTCTAACTTGAGGCCATCAAATTCTACCTTAAGATGATAATCTATACTGCATATTGATCAAATCTAGGAGTAAAATCCTAGTTCTCTGCTACAGACATTGTGTTTACATAGGTTAAAATTTGTGAAAATATTTGCAGAACTGCTAGTAGGAAAAGCAGTGGTACTGACATAAAAGCATTAAGTAATGTAGCATACAAAGGATATTACAAATATTTCTGTAGGTCTAAGCTAAGAGATAGGAATGTCAGCTTTTTTGGCAGACATACCACAAATTAGCCCTTGCATACTGTGAGTGCCACTCCAGTCAACTTCTGCTACCAAATTTGATGCTCTCCTTCTGTTCTGTTGAATTTGCTGGTGTGTTGCCTGTCCTCTCCCTGCTTGGTCTTATACCATACACATAGGCCTGTGTGAAGTAGTTAGTACTCGCTTGGGATTCAGATTTGGCCAATTCAGGGGACAGTGATTCGATTTGGTGATTCGAATCACTGTCCTGAATCGATTCGACTGAATCTCCAAATCTCCCCAGCCCATCCCCTGCCCGTCCCAGCTCCTGGTACTTTGAAGAAAAAAAAAAGCCCCAGTTTACTGGGTGCTGCCTGGTGGGGGGGCAATCCCTGCTGCCCCCCACTGACCCATGCTGCATGGGGGGGCTCTGCAAGAGCCCTCTGCCCACTGTCCCAGCCCCCTCCCCGCCCCCCCATGGCTGGCCCACCTGCCCCAGCTCTGGCCCTTTAAGAAAAACCCCCCCAAAAACCCCAAAATCACTGGTTCCTACCTGGCAGAGGGCAATCCCCACTGTCCCCCACAGCACTGTACTGCGTGGAGGGCACTGCACCAGCCCCCACTCACAGCCCCAAGGCTGCTGCAGGAGCCAGTGAGTCCAGAGGGTTTTTTTTGTTTTTGTTTTTTTCTTACAGCCGGGAGTTGGCGCAGGTGAGGCAGCCATAGGGGGGCTGGGGCAGTGGGGAGGGTTTGGGGACACATGGCAGAGCCCCCCCATGCAGCATGGGGCAGTGGGGATTGACCCCTTCGCCTGGCAGCAACCAGTGAGTCAGGGCTTTTTCTTTTTTTTTTTAAGCACTGGGAGCTGGGGCATGCACGGCAGCAATGGTGGGGGCTGGGAAAGCGGGTGGGCATTGGGGGCTCATGCCAGAGCCCCCCACATGGTGCAGGACAGTCGGGGGCAGCAGGGATCACCCCCCTGCGGGGCGGAGGCCAGAGGACACTCGGGGGGCTGGGGGAGCAGGCAGGGGATGGGCCCTGGTGGGGGTCCCCCCATGGTCCCGTCCAGTCAAGTAAAATATATTTTTAGAGCAGGAATTTTCTCTGACATGTTACACAAAGATATGAATTAAATTGATCTGTTTGCCCATCTAATTAGGATAAAAGGTCAATCTGTTTTTGAAGTAGGATTTTAACAAGAGTTAAGTCTAATTTTAATCCACTGATTGGATGAAAGACTTTCTGGCTTATCAGTCATATTTTTGGCGGAAAATTTTTTGCACTTCCAATAACAAAATAGGATGCAGTTTAACAGGGATAAGTGCAGAGCACTGCACCTGGGGAGAAGGAATCACCAACACATGTACAGATTGTGAAATTACTTTCTAAGCAGCAGAAAGGGATCTCAGAGTCATAGTTAACTCAAAGATGAACATGAGCAGACAATGTGATGAAATAGAGCTAACCACATTATCATGCATTAACAGGTGCATCACGACCAGGTCTAAGGAGGTGATACTTCCCCTCTATGTGACACTAGTAAGGCTGCAGCTAGAGTACTGCATCCAGTTTTGGGTGCCACGCTTCAAGAGGGATGTGGAAGGGTCCAGAGGAGGGCCACTTGTATGGTTAGGGTCCTGTAGGAAAGGTCCTACGAGGAGATACTGAGGAACCAAGATCTCTTTAGTTTCCACAAGAGAAGGCTGAGAGGGGATCTGGTGGCCATCTACAAATTTGTCAGAGGGGTCAGCAAGTTAAAGGAGACATTCTGTTTACCAAGGTGGCTCTTGAGGTAACTAGAAACAATGGCAACAAACTGGCAGAGAGCAAATTTAGACTAGACATTAGGAAGAACTTTACAGTAAGGCTTACCAGAGTCTAGAATGGGCTTCCAAGGGAGATGATGCTCTCCCCCACCCCTACCTTGGAGGTCTTTAAGAGGAGACTCAACAAACACCTGGCTGGGGTCATCTGATTTAAAGTATTTTAAATGCTTTTGACCAGTAGATGCATGGTCATAGCTCTAAATTTAAGAGGTATTTTTTTTGGAATAGATTGCAGAGCTTTTACTGATATTACTAGTGGCAAATAAGCATCAAAGGAATGCTATGATGAACGTATTTTTGCTGCAAGAAGATCCAGGGACAAGTTTGTTTCCCAAATTCAGGTTGTTTAAGGCAGCAGACACTTTGTGGTTGAAAATTAAGATTGGAGAGCTTGTAGCAATGCTATGGAGAACATAAATGTTCTTTGTCTTATAGAGAGCTTCTGACCAGTCCCCCTAGTGAAGAATGTAGGCTATGGGTATTGCACTGAAGAATACAAGACGGAAATTGATTTATAGCAATTGATAATAACAGAGCACATTATAATATTGATTTGTTGTGAATAGAAAATTTAATGTTCTGATTGTCTTCTCAGCCTGTGTAAATTCAGTATGGTTCCATTAACTTAAGTGTTAACTCCTATATATGTCCTTGGGAATTATACAATATATAGAGAAAAACAATAGAATAAGTCTTGCTTTTGGAGACTTCAAGAAAGGAGGGATTTTCTTTTATAGGGGTGCACCAATAGAAATTTTTTGGGTTGATACCGATGGCCGACTTTGTGAGGCTACAGCCACTCCAAAATTCGCCGTAGTCACTGCTGTCCACCCACACCCTGTACACAGATCTGGGTGTATGCACCCCCCATGCCCTCCCAGGGTGCACGTAGTGGTGGGAGCCACCTCCTTTCCCCATAAGCGGCTCAGTACCATGCCCCACCCCAGCCCCAGTCCCTCCCTCACTGTGGGGGCCTCGGTCTACCCTCCCCATGCCCCTTCCCTTCCTCTACCCCTTGCACCACAACAGGCTTACCAGCCAGACTCGGCTGCTCTCCATGCTGCCAGGCTGCACTCCTGGCCGCCTGCATGCTGCACTGAGGCTGCACGCACGCACGCAGCATTTATCAGCCACATTATCCACCACATAGCAAAAGAAGCCAATTGCCGATGGTCAATTTTCCTTGTATTGGTGCTGAGCTGATATGGGACCAATGTATTGGTGCACCTTTTTGTATCACTTCTTAAGCAAATATGGAGTTAGTTCAGC